AACTATGTTCACATAACCTCACGATACTGAGGAGTGTACAGACTACAGAACCTTATTTTACACACATCTAAGTATTATCACTATAGAATGACAGTTACAAAATCAAAAATGTTAGTGAAGCATTATTCATTAAAGTAAGAACACAACTTCCCTCTGTAGTAGTCAGTTTCACACATTAGAACCGGTGGACACACACACACAGACAAGATATTCCAAGAGCCTGTTGCACGATGACACAAGGTTTAGCGTTAAGTTTGAAGGCTTATAACTCCAAAAACCTGGTTTCGATACCCGAGGTGGACACCGCATAGATAGCCCATGGTGCAGCTTTGTGCTGAACAACAACAAATAAAAAACATTACACAAGTGATAAATATAACAAATTCATTATCGGTGCATAATTCTATAATAATCAATATAAAATATTTCAAACGATAAACCTGGCAGGGTAGTCATTTTTAATAGCATAATGAACACAAACAATAGTAGCTGAGTAAACGTTCCACTTCTTTTTAATCTACAGTTCAGACTTCAACTCGAATACAAATAACGCTTGTATCGAAACACCGGCTTAAAAAGTCCAGGCAGCTTCCACTCCTCACATGTTTTGGAAGAGAAATGCATATTCCAAACTAAGATAATAGAATATAAAATATGTGAACAGTACTGGCCTTAACAGCAGGATAATCAAATATCGCAAATAAGTTGCGCATTAGCGTGGGTTGTAAAAGGAGCTCCCCCCTACCCAGGAGTTTTTGTTTTTAACTTAAGCTCAAATTAGGTACCGATATTTTGAGAGATAAAACATTACGTATTTTGTTACACTTTCGCAAGAGAAAATATATAATAAATAAATATACTTGTTTGGTTTTCTTTCTTTTCTTTTAGGGGTTTTTTTTTTGTTTTTGGAATTTCGCGCAAAGCTACACGAGGGCTATCTGCGCTAGCCGTTCCTAATTTAGCAGTGTAAGACTAGAGGGAAGGCCAACTCTTGGGCTACTCTTTTACCAACGAATAGTGGGATTGACCGTCACATTATAACGCCCCCACGGCTGAAAGGGTCGAACCCGCGACCCTCAGATTGTGAGTCGAGCGCCTTATCCACCTGGCCATGCCGGGCCTTTAGGGGGGGTCTACTCGCCAGTGCGATAACCTTAATTACATCTAGTCTCCAGAATATGCTTCTTTTCTTTGTAGCTGAGGTTGGTACTGGTGATGAAAGTAATTAAGTACTTTTTTTCGTCATTGATAATGAACAAAAAATATCTGTAAATGTCATGTTTTAAAACATTTTATAAAAAAAAAATATATGCGTCATTCTTTCTCGGAATTTTTTTTATTTAGATGTTTCTAAATTTATATTATCAAAAAAGTAATTATAATAGCCATTAGTACTATTAAACTTAACTTGGCTATTTATTTTACTGTTGCTTTGTGAAAAACTAGCTAGTTTAGAATTATCAAAAAAAGAAAAATCGTACCATTTTGTCAAAACGAAATACGGCCAGGAATGAATAACGAACCTCTTCAAAACTTCACTATAAAATGACGCTAGGAATAAACTGATGGATTAACAAAATCAAAGTATTAACTTCGCATATTCACAATATTTACGAATGTGAACTATACTCACAAACTTATGTTTTCGCATCATATTTGCGTTTGCTAGTCGTGAGTTTACAGTTTTTTAATCGACTTGTTTTTCCAATTTGAAATATTTTTAAGAATTGCATCTATTTATGAACAAACTTTACATTTGTTGTTTTCCGAG